ATTTTAATTACTTAGTTTAAGGAGTAACACTGTGTATTTTAGATGTTGAAATTTAATGATATTTGATATATGATTAAATTGTCAAATTGTTATTTAAACTATTATTTTAGAGTTTTAAGGTTAAATGACTTTGAAGAGCTAAGTTATCATCAAGATAATCTCAAATAAAGTTAAATTGATACAACTTAAGGAAGGATATATAAATGTTTACTTAAAATTTGTGCTTCGTAAACATATGTTTTAAGAAAATTTAGAGAGAAGTTTTCTAAGGCCAAATCTCCTTCTTTCCTTGTCTTTTACCGAAATCTTCCTCTTCGTCCTTCTTGTAGTTAAATCCACTTAACTAAGATGGAAGATCCAAGCTTGTGAAATTGAAGATCTAAGTCGAGATCATGCGGAGGGTTCCTATTTTTTCCTCTTTCCTTCTCCTTTTCTTGGTTTGGATCAACAAGAAATAAGGAAAGCTTTGTGATTTGAATTGTGATGTATAAATGTTATTTATATTGTCTAGATTCATTGTTGTATGATTAGAGTGATGAAAATTGTGAATCTAAGTGCAGTTGGAGAAGTGTTCTTGAAGTTGTTATCGAGTGATTCAAATGATTATTATATTTTGTTGGTTGCATGAGTTATTTTGGTGATGTCTATGATGTACATGTGTTGCTTGTTGGATTTCATTTCATTTGGGTTGGTTTGATTTCAAGATTTGAGCCTTTTGATGAATATGCTATGAGCATAAACGAGCATCGCATCAAGTTAAGGAGCTATTTGCCCTAATCACGTTGAGCGTAAGATTGTAGCGCTTGCATAGATTAGTGGGGAGTTCTCTGACTTAGTCACGTTGAACGTGGAATGATTGGTGTCGAGCGTGAAAACTCAAGAATTCGCTAACTTGGTGATGATGAACCTTAGAGGTGTGGTGCCTGACATCAAGCATACATTGAGTGACGTTGGATATGAGTTAGATAGAGTCCTTCAATCAGAGTAGGGCTAGGCGTGAACTCTTACCTTTTATTTTTTTATATCTTATAGATAGACTCCAAAAAATATTTTCATAAAAAAAAATAATATAATTTATATGTAAAGAAAATTAATAGAAATAAATTAATTTAAAAATACATTAAAGAGTTTTAACAATTGGTAGCCTTCGCCAGCAGGAGTGGTAAAAGATTATTTGATATATATATATATATATATTTATATTTATTTATTTATTTATTTATTAAATAAAATTTATGTAAATCTCATAAAAGAATATAGTAACTTATCATTTTTAATAAGCCCACGTGAAATTTATATAATAATAGAATTTTACAAAATAAAAAAGAATGTATCGTTAGCTTACTCTTGCTAGTTGCTACCATTATCATGTTATTAGATCATTCCCACAAACTAACCAACTTTTTTCAAAAAAGATTAATACGAGTCTCCATCATAAATCGTATTCTTTGGTTAAGTTAACAAAAGTGGTGGAGTACAAATATACAACGATTGATCATTCCCATCACTCTTCTTTTCTCCGTTTCTTATTGGCAGACAAATTAAAGTGAATTCAATTCGCATCCTTTGTGCTTTTTTGGATCTCAAACTTTGGATATTTCATTATAATTAAACTAGTTCACACCCTCTTCCTTCCTATATCCTTAAACAACACGCTACTTTAATAAAATGGATGGGACTTATCATATTATATATATATATATATGTTATCTATTATGTGATAAAATAGGTATATAATATAGGTTATATATGTTTTCACATTATAAAATAGTTTTATACCTTAGTCACAATATATTATATAGGTTAATATTGTTGATTTTTATAATAAGTATTTTAAAATTTAAACTATTTTTTATGACTGCAAATGATATTAGATAATTTTGTGAGCTAAAGGAGTTTTATTACAAGTTAATCTGAGTTGCAATGTGGAATGCATGTCACGTGGCAGAGCATGGTGTTTCTGACCTTGAGTGGGTCCTAGTCACCCATATAAATTTTTTTTTTTATTTTGTGGTTTTTTCTTTAACGTTTTTCTGATCGATAATTTTCTTATAAAAAATAAGACATTATAAATGATGTCCCTGTAACCTGTTCTGTCTTGTACTACGTACCTACCACAACGTAATCTACAAATATTTTCAAATTTCAAATCGAATTCCAACAGCACATTTTTTTAAAGTACGACTTGTCCAGATCCAACAAGTAACAACAATTTTGTTGTGTCCACGTCAAATCGTGGCCCCTTCTTCATTTCCTTAAAACTTAATTTATAAGATACCCCAAAAGTTATAAAATTATAAATTAGAAATTTTTAAATTAATTGTTGGATCAGAAGTATTAAATAATATTAATTTATAAACTAGTTAATAAATATAATATTATATATAATGAAATTGTAAAAATGACAAGGTAAATAAAAGAATTTCTAAATTAAAGAAACAAATAATTTTAAATAAATTACCAAATAAAAAAAACTAAAAACTTATAACTTATAAAAAATAAATGATAAGATTGTAAAATAAGGTGCCATATCAAATAAATTTACTTTGATAATACTATCTATAAACTAATTAAACTAACTTATAAATTTCTGTATCTTTTTAAATGCTCTTTAAAATTAACTATGGCAGTTGATTGATCAAAGTGAAACGAAATTATAAATTTTAAAAATGAGATCGTTTTAAATTATTTTATTAAAATATGGATGTTTTTATTGAGTTATATTGAAATTGTTAAGTGGAGACTTTTGATAATATGCGATTTATTTTTAAATTTTTTTAAGTGTATGTTTGATTTAAATAAGAATATGAAGGAGATTTAAATGGAGAGAAGAAAAGTAAGGAAAGAAGAAGAGTTAGAGATATTAATTTACATTTTTATTTTTATAATTTTAAATTAAAAAAATATGTGCTTATTGAGTTTTTTTATATTAACATTAATTGTTGTACGATAGAGACTTAGGTAAGTTAAGTCACAATCAACATATGATATTTGACTTATTATGTTTAAATAAAAAATGATAACTCTCTAACTTTTAACTTAATGATAAATGTTTAATCTAATAAAATGTAAGAATATTTTATATAATAAACTCAAAATATTTTAAATTTTCTCGTTTTTCCACCAAATCCTACTAATATTGGAGGAGAGCTAAACTTAAATGAGGTCGTCCCCCTCCATTCCTCCCATTCTCTCCTATAAATTGAGTCACACAATAAAAGTTTGAAAAACTTCTTTCATCCTCTCCATTTTCTTCCAATCAAATACTATGTAATTTACTTGACACTTTAAAAATACAAAGCGAATTAGTGAGTTTTATGTGTCACATTACGTAGATATAAGAAATTATATATATATATATATATATTATATATATATATATAAAGAGAGAGAGAGGAAGTCTTAATAAACTTAATTTACTCAATAATTCATATTTTACATCAAATTTTAACAATTTAATAGTTAAATTAAACGTCTTTAACGCATAGATTAAATCTATAATTTTATTTAAAAATTAAAAACTATTTAATACTTCATTTTATTAATTCAAATTGATGGAAAATTATAAAAATATATTATATATTAATTTAAATTTATATAACAAAGTATAATATAATTTTTACAATTTTTAAAAGTTTGCAGACTTTATCATTTTGAATTTAGTGATTAAATTATTAAAATTTGATATAAAATATGAGTTATTGAGTAAAATAAATTAATCAAAATTTATTTTTAAAATAAATAAATCTCTTTATATATATATATAAATAAAAGATTATATGAAATTGTAATTTTTGTAGTCTATCATCCAAGTTTAACATTGTTCCATCACTTATCAACTGACTAGCTTTTTTAAAAATATGTTAACCCTAAAAAACCTATCACATGTATTAGCCCATGCTTAAACTTTTACGTTATTTTAAAACAAATTAAACTTATTTAAGCAAAATCATTTTCGGTCCAACATATTTCCATTTAAATATACGATTCAACTTAATAACATCACAATATTATATTGACAACAATAATATAAGAATTACTTCTATTAGACGTGAAAATTTTATCCTGATGCTGAATTATCACTTTATAATTTATAAATTAACCTTCACATATTTACCATTTCTCTCTTTTTTTTGGACACATACCTTCAAGTTGGACATCTATTATGATAAGCATGACAGAAGAAAAAGGTTAAATGTAAAAAGTAAAAATACTGCCAGTTTCAATTCAATATTATACTTTACAAGTTTACATGAAATTAATTAAAACAGATCCAGCATGTACGATTGGCTCGGGAGAAAAGTTTTTTATTTTGTTACTTTATACTAAGAAAAGTAGCAGTAAGTAATTAATACATAGATGCATGTAGATAACAGCTAAATTTGTTCCATGACAACAGTACGAAGGTACGTGGCAGTGTCAGAGAAAGAAAAAGGTGGGAGCCTCATGTCTGAGTTGAGGGGGCGCCACGTAGGACAAGGTGCTGCTTCATAATCATAATTCACCTTCCCACCCACGTCATCACAATTAATTGCTATCCCATTTTTTTTTTTTTTTTCCTGAAGTATCTACTATCCACGGCCTAATCGGTAATTTTTTTTATTACTAAAGAGATATCTTAAAAGATAGAATAATTGATCTAAAAATTTAACGTGGCTGCATTCATAAGATAGAATTCAAATTCTTGATATTACATAAACATGGATCAACTCCTACTACTGAACCACAGTTTTAAGGTTCCATTTGATTCTATTTGTAACAAGAGTAAAGATTCAGCTCTCATTTTTTTTTTCCAAATCTTCGTCCAAATAATTATAATAATTTAAAAAATTATTATTTTAATTATTCGGACCACGATTTAGAAAAAAAAAAATGAGAAGGTAAACTCTTGTAACAAATGGCCAAAAAAGTTGGGAGCGAAAATAGCTGCGATATTAAAAAAGGGGAAAATATAAATGTGTTGAGACTTGAGAGAGGGCCCGGAAATCGCTGGCATCGGAGGAGGGAAAAAGAAAGAAAAGAGAGTGTGTGTGACTCTCTCTCTCTTTCTCTTACTCTTTCTCTTTCTTTTCTCCTAAAACTAAAACCCTCTCTCTCTTTCTCTCTCCTCTTTCGATTTCTTTCACGATTCTCTCTCTCTCTTCATTTTGTCTCCTTCCTCGATCTGCAACAACACCTCTGCTCCCTCTTCTTCCCTTTCTCCCTTTCCCCATTTTGCCGCATTGCTACGTTCCTTCCGCAACATGAACGGGCCCCTCCCGTTCGGTGCGTCTCTTTTTTTTTTTTTTTTTTAACTGCTTTGTTTTGTGGAAAGTTGGAAATTATTTTTCTATTCAATTTGGTGGATTTGTTTTGGTTGCACTGAATCTTCAATTCGCTGGCATTATTCATTGTAATCAGTTACGCCTCTAGCTGGATCATTCTTATTATTAATGGAGTTTTTAATAAAAATAAATAAGCGTCAAAGGCGTGTTTTTTTTCATTTCTTACATAACGTTGCATTTTCTATATAGCTCCTCGATTTGAATTCTGGTGGGAAAGGAAAGACTGTATCGCAGGATCTCGGTGGTCCGTGTTGAGTTTTCTTTGTTTTCTTTATTATCGTTGTCTTAATTTTTAGATTCTCTTTTAAAAAGAAAAAATTATGATGTCTGGGAATCCCAGGAATTTGAATTTCATCTGGAATGCTTTCGTTTTTTTGTTTTTTGTTTTTTTTTTTCTTATCATTTTTTGGTTTCACATTTTGATGTTTGCATGAATTTAGATTTGTCTGATTAAGTTATTTGCACTCTTGATTTATAATAGTATGTTTAACTGTCAAATGATGAGAGTGTTTATGTATGTGCTCAGCTGAATCATTTTTATATGTGTTGGTAGGTTTTAGGAGAACAAATTGAGGACAAGGGGCAGTTTGATGGTTTCAAAGATTTGGGTTTCTTTGTTAGTGGGTATGTGTTAAGTTAAATATAACTACTCTACGCTGAGCTGAATTTTGGTCAAATGACACGGGGGAGGATAAGGGCAAGGCTCCGGAGGAGCAATCTTTACACATTTGGTTGCCTTAAGCCTTCTACCATTGAGGAACCACCTCATCCACTTCAAGGTCCCGGGTTCACGCGAACTGTGCATTGCAACCAGCCTCAACTCCATGAAAAGAAGCCTCTATATTACTGCAAGAATGATATATCCACCACCAAGTACAATGTTATCACGTTTTTCCCCAAGGCACTCTTTGAACAGTTTCGTAGGGTTGCTAATATATACTTCCTTTTGGCTGCGTGTCTGTCAGCCTCGCCAATTTCGCCTTTCAGCCCACTGAGCATGATTGCTCCATTGGCATTTGTTGTGGGGCTTAGCATGGCAAAGGAGGCATTGGAAGATTCACGAAGGTTCGTTCAGGATGTTAAAATTAATCGCCGGAAGGTTAATCGCCATAAGGGTGATGGCGTTTTTGGTCCCAGGTCGTGGCAGAACATTATGGTTGGGGATGTGGTGAAAGTGAATAAGGATCAGTTTTTTCCAGCTGATTTGCTTCTCTTGTCCTCGAGTTATGAGGATGGGATATGCTATGTGGAGACTATGAATTTAGATGGTGAGACCAACTTGAAGGTGAAAAGATCTTTGGAGTCTACCTTGACTCTAGATAATGATGAAGTTTTTAAAGATTTCTCTGGAATAATACGTTGTGAAGACCCAAACCCCAATCTTTATACATTTGTTGGAAATCTTGAGTATGAGCGCCAGATTTATCCTCTTGATCCTAGTCAAATTCTTCTCCGAGATTCTAAGCTCAGGAACACTGATTACATCTATGGGGTGGTCATTTTCACTGGTCATGACAGCAAAGTCATGCAGAATTCCACAAAATCTCCTTCTAAACGGAGCACAATAGAAAAGAAGATGGATTATATCATATACACCCTCTTCACTGTCCTTATTTTGATATCTGTTATTAGTTCCATAGGCTTTATCATCAAGACTAAGTACCAAACCCCGCAGTGGTGGTACTTACGGCCTGACATTATTGAATACCAGTATGATCCCAATAAGATTGGAGTGGCTGGAATGAGTCATCTGATTACTGCGCTCATTCTTTATGGATATTTGATACCCATCTCACTTTATGTTTCCATCGAGGTTGTAAAGGTTTTACAGGCAACCTTCATCAACCAAGATATTCAAATGTATGATGAAGAAACTGGGACTCCAGCTGATGCACGGACATCTAATTTGAATGAAGAGTTGGGTCAGGTAGATACTATCCTGTCAGATAAAACTGGAACCCTGACTTGTAATCAGATGGACTTTTTGAAGTGCTCCATTGCCGGTACTGCATATGGTGTGCGTTCCAGCGATGTTGAACTTGCTGCAGCAAAGCAGATGGCTTCTGATATTGATGATGCGGATTCAGATCTCTCCAATTTCCCTATGCCTAATACTAAATCGCAAGTTTCATGGGATAATGGTACAAGATCTGAAGAAATTGAACTGGAGACTGTTGTTACTTCCAAAGGAGATGAGGATCAAAAGCATACCATAAAGGGGTTTGGTTTTGAAGATGACCGCCTCATGAATTGTAATTGGTTGAAAGAGCCCAATGCTGATGACCTTTTGATGTTCTTCCGAATATTAGCAGTTTGCCACACTGCCATTCCTGAGCTGAATGAGGAGACTGGTGTTTATACATATGAAGCGGAGTCACCTGATGAAGGGGCTTTTCTTGTAGCAGCAAGAGAATTTGGCTTTGAGTTCTGTAGAAGGACTCAGTCAAGCATTTTCATACGTGAAAAATTTTCTGCTTCTGGGCAAGTGGTTGAAAGGTAAGCATTCATGGAAACTCTTATGTTCATCTACTCCCCCTCCCCCCAAACGTCAGCCTGCATCAATTTTCTTTTTTCAAACACTGTATCCTCTATTTATGTACTTTTGGGCGAATTCTACAGAGAGTACAAACTTTTGAATCTGCTGGATTTCACTAGTAAAAGAAAGCGGATGTCTGTGATTGTACGTGATGAAGAGGGCAGTACTTTTCTTATGTGCAAAGGGGCTGACAGGTGAGATTGCAGAATCAGTTATTCTTTCCTAATGACAGCTGAATGCATGTAATGACCAATAGGACCTTTATCTCAAAATATACCGTAGAATAAAGGAAACTGAAATTACAAAATAATCACCACCATTTCCTGTTTTTGAAGAAAGAATTCTGCTAAAACACACCCACGCCCACATCCACATGAATGTTTTCAGAGTGATATTTTCATCACCTCTCTTTATACTTTTGACATCCATTATTTTATTGCTTGTTATGCAGTATTATATTTGATCGCATGTCTAAAAATGGAAAGATGTATTTGGAAGCTACAACCAGACATTTAAATGAATATGGAGAAGCTGGTTTGAGAACACTAGCCCTGGCTTATAGACAGCTTGATGAGCAAGAGTACTCTGCTTGGAACAATGAATTTCAGAAAGCCAAATCATCTGTTGGGGCTGACAGAGATGCGGTGCTTGAGCGGGTATCAGATATGATGGAAAAAGAGTTGATTCTTGTTGGGGCTACTGCTGTGGAAGACAAACTGCAGAAAGGGGTGGGCATTATCATTCTTTATAGTCAATATATGTTGCTGTTTTTTTCTACTTTAAATATTCGACCAAATTCAATTTTTTGTTCTTTGCAGGTGCCCCAATGCATTGATAAACTTGCTCAAGCTGGTCTCAAGATATGGGTGTTGACAGGGGACAAGATGGAAACTGATTGGATTCTATGACATAGGATCTTTATTTCAATTAAACTTTTCTAAGACTGAATTTTCAATGAAGTTTCTTTAAAGACTTGTTATAGAAGAATGAATTCTATATGCTTTCTTGATTACAAAATAATGAGATTCAAAGTTAACACCAATATGTAATGCTTTAATTCAGTTTAAACCAATATTATTCATGCACACATGCTAATCAAGAATCATCTTCTTTAATGTACAATCAAGATATTACTCAAAGTAAAAGATAAGGGTA